ACAAGTAAAAAGGTTAGAAAGGCAAAAGATTTTGAACCAAATTTCTTTATGTTCCTTGCGGAAGAGATTGGTGAAAGAATAAACAACAAAATTTTTTATTGTTTTAATACAGAGTTTGATCTTGTTACACATGAAGATGCAATGAAATCTCAAGATTTTACTTTTTAGAGAGAAGAATAAATGATGAAATGAACTCAATAATGGAAAATAACACTTGGATTTTGGTTAACCTTTCACCTGGTTTTAATCCAATAGGCTGTAAATGGATTTAAAAAAAAAAAGAAAAAGAAAGTGGATGGAACCATAGATAAATTTAAAGCAAGGTTGGTAGCCAAGGGTTTACATAAAACTAAGAGATAGACTACTTTGATATTTATGCTACAATAGCTAAAATTGTTACAATTAGACTTCTAATTTCACTTGCCTAAATTTATAATTTGATTATACATCAAATGGATGTAACGATGACATTTTTAATTAATGAATTAGAAGAAGAAGTATATATGGAACAACTGGAAAGATTTATCATTCCATGTTAAAAGTATAAGGTTTGTAAGCTTGTAAAATCATTGTATGGACTTAAGCAAGCACTAAAACAATGGCACCAAAAGTTTGATGAAATCGTTCTTACTAATGGTTTTAGAATTAATGAATCAGATAAGTGCATATATAACAATTTTGAAAATGGCAAAAGAGTCATAATTTGCTTATATGTGGATGATTTACTAATATTTAGCACTGATTCAGAACAAATTAAGAAAACAAAGAAATTTTATCAAATAACTTTTCAATAAAAGATATGGATGTAACAGATGTTATTCTTGAAATAAGAATAATCTGGAATGATAATGGCATAACTTTGTCACAATTGCATTATATTGAAAAAATACTTAAAAAGTTTGATTTTTTCGATTGTATTCCAATATCTACACCCATGGATTCTTAATTAAAATTAGTATCTAATACTGGTAAAATAATCAATCAATTGCAATATGCAAGAGTAATTAGTTGTCTGATGTATGCAATAACTTGTATTAAGCCAGATATATCATTTGATGTTGGAAAATTAAGGAAGTAACAAGTAATTCAAGTAATTTACATTGACAAGCAGATAAAAGAGTACTTTGATATTTAAAAAAAATAATCAATTATGGATTGTATTATAGTGGAATATCCCTTAGTTATAAAAGGATATTCTGATGCTAGTTGGATTACTAATATAGAAGATTATGCTTCTACAAGCGGGTGAATCTTTATACTTGATGGAGGTGTCATTTTTTAAGGTTTTAAGAAACAAACATGCATAATGGATTCTACCATGGTAGCCAAGTTTATTGTATTAGCCGCAATAACTAAATAAGCTAAATGGCTAAGAAATTTATTACATGAAATACCTTTATGGCCTAAATTGATTTTTCTAATTTTTATCCGATGTGTTAGTAAAACAACTCTAGTAAAGGCATATAGCCAAGTATAAAATGAAAAGTCTAGACATATTGGATTAAGATATAATTATGTTCAACAATTAATTTCAAATAAAGTGATCATTATAAATTATGTGAGGTCAAGTGAAAACTTGACGAATCCTTTAACTAAAAGTCTTGCTAGAAAGTTAATAAAAAATACCTCAACAAGGATGGGGCTCAAGCTCAAAAATAAAATTACCCATGATGGAAACTTGACTCAACGCTTGGTATAACACCAAGTCTTGAGTTCAATGAGACAAAGTACATCATTTGTATGTGACAGCTAGCACTATAATAATATTTAATGCCATCCCTGGTAAAGTGTTAGGTATCTCGTAATGGTAAAGGAATGATGAGTAATATACTCTTAATAGACCTATAATATAAATATGTTATAGTGTTATAGTAATTGGAACATTATTAGAACACTTTACCTATATGAATGTAAAGTGTGGTCGCTTTTAGGAGCTTAAGAGCTTGGCTCTAACAGCACTTATTAAAAGAGGATGCAAACACATAGCCATAAATGTGTCACCGAATACCAAGTATTTATTGGATGTTGAAATCATTGTGTAAGACAAATTCAGTTAACCAAATGAAATAACTTATTCAAAACATAGTTTACCATGTGATTTCAATTAACTTTAACTTATTTTCACTAAGTGAAGATTTAAATCGAAAGATACATTTATTTATGCAATTGATTTCTAAGGTCATTATAAATCTGGATTATTTTAAAAATGGTGGAGGATTGTTAAAGATTTTTAAAATAAATATGAGAAATAATACCACATTCAAAAAGAAAAAAATAAAGACAGATAATTAAGTTTATTCAAAGTAAAAAAATAAATTTATTCAAAATAAATAATTTTAACTGTTTAAAAATAAATAGTTTTGTGTATTTAAAATAGACAATTATATCTGTAGGAAATGACACTTTAATTGTTTATAAAATGCTCTTCTGATTTTTTGACAATACATAGAAACAATTCTTAAAACTCTTCATTTTTCTTTAAACTCTAGATTTTTTTTATAAAAGTTTTGCTGCAAAGAACTTATATAAAAATTTAGTGATCTTATGATACATCGGTTATTGTTTGATCAATTAATTTCATCAATATAAAATATAATCAGCCATTAGACTTCACTATATCCTTAAAGTTTATTACTTGTAACTTTTTTATATATCTATAAAATAAATAATATGACAAAAACAAATAAAATCTTAAAAAAAAGGGTACAATTACATGCTTTAGAACTTTTCTTCTAAATTTCAGATTTATCATAAATAATAATTTCACGTTTTCAATGTTGCTCCAACAGATTATCAGTGAATGTTTATGGTATTGTTTAGCAATTACTATAAAATATTTTTCTTTTATGATGAAAAAAACTTTTTTGGGTCTTATTAATAGAAAATGGAAAAGAAATAGATAAAGCGAATGGCTTTGACTAAAGGGCATTGGAGGCCAGATTAACAAAAATTATGGTTTTCGAGTTGCAATAATTGTCTGTTAGGGGGTTATCTTCTGACAGACAAACTAGCACAATTACGAAGACAAATGCCGCAGGTTCATTGGCCTATAAGACTGCATTGAGACCCCTGACCTTGAGAAAAACCCACCCAGCCTTATTAACTATCTAAATGACGAAACGAGTAATGTCTGAACAGGTATAAACCTTTTCTAAGGCTAGCTTTTTGGGATTCGAGAATGGACACTCACCCAACTCCAAAAGAAACAGGCTGAAATAGACAAATCTGACAAGGCATAAGCTACGAATTGCAAGAAGGGCATTGAAGAAAAATATCCACAAAGTCAAATACAAGCTAAACATGTACAAAAATATGTTGTCTCTTCATTTTTTGCGGTGTTCTGGCATTAGATTATTGATTATTGTCACTTTCGAGGATGTTGCTTGGTCTTAAAGCATTGCCTTGTTTATATAGCACTGCATTTTAAGAGAAAAAGAAACGGAAAATAGAATGGATTTACATTAACATAAGTTAGATAATTGCACAAAAGTAATTGAATTCAAAATTTAATTAAGTTAATTTATATAATTAAATAACAATTAATAAATTTAGTGTAAATCTCAACCTTTATAATAATTTTTTCTACCTCTAATTATGATTTCTTTTATTAAAAAAACAAAGTAAGCTCGCTCTAATCAATTAAAAAGGCTTTGCAATAAAATGGTTTATCAGAATCCGTGAACCTTCAAGGTTGGCAGTTTGCATCCCGATAATTCTCGTATAATCTAATGACAACAAAGAGAGATCACAAAGCGTTAAGATTTAAGATGGCTTGCAATCGAGAAACGCAAAGAATAAAAATAAGTTGCCAAGTTGCATAGAATACAGAGAAATTGTGGGACCGGACCAGGGTAGACCAAGGATTTGAAGAATCTCCGTCAGCAGCGGCTGTAACTCAAAGCTCAGATCAGCACGAGAACCCCAAGAAAAGGAATCCCTTGGTTATGAGAGAAAAATCATGCATTAAAAGGACCCAGTTATTGCGGGCCGTGCCATCCTCCAAGGGGACATCCGCTGCGACTGATTCTGAAGCACTGATATCTTAACTGTCTCGCCAGGGGAGCGCTGAACATTGTTCTATTTATCTTTGAGGAGTTGTAATTTTCAAACCAGAGGCGGGCTTTGAGAATGAATATGGTTTTGTGATTTAACTCATGAACTGTCCTTTGTTAAACAGGATTTGAGTCAGAATCAAGTGACTGGTTTAAATAAGTTCCTTTAATCGCACCAATAGAATCTTGGTACATTGGATTAGTCTAAGAATAGCCTTTAAACATGTGTCTGTAAAACATTTCCTTTCTATATTGAGTAACTTCAATACTGTATTGAATTCATTTTCTTTCTTTTCGACAACAGATCTATATTTACATTCAATTCAAAATGCTGTAAAGATAAGGCTGGGTTAAATAACAGTACAAAATGTCAAAGCAAACAAGGAAAAACTTGTACTGCCCACCGCCAGTATCAGAAATTTGTCGTACGATCAGATAAGTCTGTCATGTCACAGACCTTTGTCTCAAAAGCAAAAGAATAACACCACACCACCTAACTTAAAGACTAACCTCAGACAAAACTATAGCAGACTGTGAGGCAAAAAATATTTGTACTGGGAACAAGCAAAGAGGAATGCTTGAAAGAAACAGGGCGGGTGAATCAAAGTATGAATACCGGATCCATTAACATGCACAGCATGGAAATAGCAAATACATACATTCACATCTACAGAATTGTCCCTGGCGGTCCTCAGGGTTCGTCTTACAGTGGCTCTTAAGGAATATAGTAACAATAAAACTAGACTCGAACCAGTTAAGCAAGTGGAACCCAAAAATTTTCCTGGAACACTCAACAATCCTGTATGATATTTACTCAACAACCTAGATGCTTGGCTGAAACTGAAAGTTTAAGCTTCCAAATGTAGCTTACTTGAATAAGTTCAAACAGAGCAGGTGATGCGGATTCCTGCTAAGCTGTCTACTAGCAACTGAGAACCTACCAAAACACAGATATCAAACAAATCTGTGAACATACCATCAGCGTGAACCACATAACAACATTAGCTAGATGGTATTGGCCCTTTATATTTACAGCACTAGAAGTTACTTGGCCACTAGCAAGCCCAAGGTGCAAAAGAGAGGAAAATATGAAAGGTAAGGTAAAAAAACAACAACAATAACATATTAAGTCTTATATCCCATACTCTGGGTCAGTTGTATGAAAAACCAAATAAGATAATCAAGTTTAAGTTGTTGCGCCACTCATTTCTATTAACAACTACCTTTTCATCTAATTTCTTAACCATCATATCTATTTTTATTAGAAAGGTAAGGCAGAAAAAAAAGATAAAAATCTAAATGTCCATAGCAACTAAATCTTGGTACAAACTTGTCCCAATATAAGCATACATGGCTGTGATCCAAAGCAGTGAGTTCAAACTCAAATAATGTTTTACACAAGTCAAACCATGATGAAAGACCAAGATAAGAATTCTCATTGGATTGTACATCGAAACCCGGATGTAGAGTTAAATGTGCAAGGGTTAGTAGGTCGTCACCTGGAAGCAACGCCCCGTATCACCGCCCGGGTGCAATGTCAAATAGACAAGGGTTCTCATGTTTTGGTGGACAAACACAAGTAAAAAAGCTAGTCCATAGGGGTAAATTACGCTTAGACGCTTGAAATATAAGATCATTAACTGGTAAGTTTGTCGAGATTGGAGATGCAATGACTAGAAAAGGAATTAATATTATGTGTCTCCAAGAAACTAAGTGGGTAACGGAAAAGGCTAGAGAGATAGAAACATGGGACTCTAAACTTTGGTACACAAGGAAGGAAAGAAGCAGAAATGGAGTGTGGATAATTGTAAATAAGAATTTGAGGATGATATAGTTGAGATTAAAAGAAAAGGAGATAGAATTTTACTTGTTAAACTTATTTTAGAAGAGGTTACTGTTAACTTCCTTAGTGCTTACACCCAGCAAATAGGTTTGAATCAAGAGAGTAAGCAAAAATTTTGGGAAAATTTATATGAGATAGTGCGAGCCATACCACATAGAGAAAAACTATTTATCAGAGGAGATATGAATAATCACGTAGGCAAGGATGGTAATGACTTTGAGATGGTACACGGAGGATATGTCTTTGGAGAAAAATGATATCGAAGAGACTATCCAAGAGTTTGCTACTGCATTTGACCTAACTATATTAAACACGTGTTTTAGGAAAAGGGAATTACACTTAGTAACATTTAGGAGTGGATCAAATGCTAGCCAAATTGATTTCTTTTTTACGAGAAAAAAGGATAGAAGTAGTGTTATACCATGTGAGAATGTGGCAACACAACATAGACTATTAGTACTCGATCTATTCCACCTTAAGGGGTTAAAGAAAAGACATCAGAGTCATAAACCACGTATTAAATGGTAGAACTTGAAGGGGGACAAAATGGTAACGTTTAGGGATAGACTAGTACGAAAAGTTGATTGGAAGCCTGATGAAGGTATAGAAGTAATGTGGAAAAATATTACAGCCAAAATTCAAACGGTTGCTAAAGAGACACTTGACGAATTTATGGGTAGGGCACCATTAGGAAAGGACTCTTAGTGGTGGAACAAGGATGTGAAAATGGCAATTAAAGCTAAGCGAAAGTGTTATAAAAATTTATGGAACAATAAGGATGAAGAGAGTTATCTAAAGAATAAGACAACAAAAAATGAGACTAAAAAGGCTATTCAAAACTCAAAGAGTAAGATCCATGAGGAGTTATATAGAAAACTAGAGACAAGAGACGGAGAAAAAAAGTTGTTCAAAATTGCTAAGATGAAAGATAAAAACAGTAGGGATTTTAATAGTGTTAGATGCATTAATAGCAATTATGGAAGAGATTTAATGAATGATGAAAAGATTAAAAAGAGATGAAGAGATTATTTTGATAATATTTTTAATAGCAGTTTTGAGCACGATTTAGGTGGGTCAAAAATACCTTCTTATGATGTAAATCGTGTGTTTAAACGTAATATTAAAAGCTACGAGATTAAAAAGGCTTTGAGAATAATGAGATCAAAGAAAGCTGTAGGACCATATGGAATCTCGATTGAAGTCTGAAAATGCTTAGGTGAAATAATGACAGGATGGTTGACGGATCTTTTCAACAAAATTTGGCATACCCAAAAAATGCCAAAAGAATGGAGAAAAAGCACTCTTATGCCTTTATACCATAATAAAGGTGATATACAAGATTGTTTGAACTATCAAGAAAAAAAACTTATAAGTCATACTATGAAACTTTGGAAGAGAATAATTGAATGTATGTTGCGATATGAGATCACTATTTGTGCAAACCAATTTGGGTTTATGCCAGGACGCTCCACAACAGAAGGGCTCCACTTTTTAAAGCTTTTATTGGAGGGTTTTCTAGTGAGAAAAAAAATCTATATATGGCATTTATCAACTTGGAGAAAGCATACGATAGAGTTCCTTGAAAGGTGCTTTGGTGGGCCTTAATGAAGAAAAAAATCCCTGTAAAATACATCAACATAATTAAAGATATGTATGAAAGAGTGGTAACAAATGTGAGTACGTTTAAGGGCATGACAAATCGCTTCCCCATTACCTTAGGATTACATCAATGCTCAACACTAAATCCTTTCCTTTTTGCATTAGTTATGGATAAGTCCACTGGATGTATCCAAGACAAGGTACCATGGTGTATGTTATTTGCCGATGATATACTCTTAGTTGGTGAAACTTGAGATGACCTTAATGCGAAATTAGAATTATGGAGGAGTACATTGGAATCTCAAGGTTTTAAATTAAGTAGATCTAAAATTGAATATATAGAATGCAAGTTTAGTAATCAAAGGGAAACAGGTACTAATATGATTAAGTTGGATGGTGAGGTAGTAACAAAGAATAGCCAATTTCGATATTTTGGATCAATTATTCAGAGTGATACTGAGATAAAAGCAAATGTCAAGTATAAGATTCAAGTAGGATGGGCAAGGTGACAAAGTGCATCAGGTATGTTGTGTGATCGCAACTTGCCTTTAAAGTTAAAAGCATAGTTGAATAAAACAACAGCAAGGCCTGCATTGCTATATGGAATTGAGTGTTTGGCTATTAAGAAACAACATGAGAAGAAAATAAACATAGTGCAGATGATGATGCTTAGATGGATGTGTGGTAGGATTCGAAGAGACAATTAAATATGAAGAGATTTGAGAAAAATTAGGGGTAGTCCAAATTGAAGAGAAAATAAGAGAAGGCCGTTTGTAATGGTTTGGACATGTGAAATGTAGGCTTAGCTATACAATGGTTAGGAGAATTGAGTCTATAGATCTAGGAGAAATCAAAACATCTAGAGGTAGACTAAGAAAAACATGGATGCAAGTAATAAAAAACGATATGATAGTTAAGGAATTAGATCAAAAGGTTGTTATTGATAGAAATGAGTGGCATAAGAAGATTCAAACTACAACGTAACATAAGTCTCTTATTTGATTTTTCATATAACCGATCCCAGAGTATGGGATATTAGGCTTAGTGTTGTTGTTGTTGTGCAAGAATTCCTTCAGCAACTTCCAATTTCATATGCACATAAAGCACATGTTTCACATGCACCTGCCAAGCATAAAACATTTGAGTGCCAAAGAAATGCAATCATAAGGGAAAATTTGGCAGGAAATGTTGGCTATCAGCAGCTGACATAGACTCTGATTCAAATTTCCAACTTCCATTTATAGTAAGTCGCATCTTGGAATTTGAAATAAAAAAGCACAAAATAATAATGGAATATTGAGGCAAATGATAAGTTTAATGCAACCTTTTGCATGCAAGGAAAATAAAAGTGGAAGTAAAATGAATTATCAGTTAAGTGCACTAACATTATGCTTGAAGCAAGAACTGTCCTAGGCTCATGCAGCACATCATCCAACAGAAAAAGAATAGAAATTGCCCCCAATAAATCTTCTCTAAAGGTCCTACACGTCTGAATTTTACGGGGCATTTTCTTTTTTCTTTTGTTGGTATTGACTATGGAGGATTTTCTAAACCATGCTTAATTGAACATAATCAAAGGTCATAAATAGGTTCTAAACACTACATGGAACCTAACACAAAGGCATGGGTAAATGCACTTCAAGTTTGGAAAACCGATGAAAAGAAGTTTTAAATGTAAAAAGAAATTCAAAACTATTTCGAAATTCCTACCATTTGTAACAGCAAATCAACAATTAATTCCTACCCTTTATATCTTCTTCTTTAGGCAGAATTCCAAATTAGCAATGTTTATACTAAACCCAAAAAATTAAGTAAGAAAAATTAAATAGAACAGAAGGCACAATATGACCATAATGCATCAAAATAACAGGCATATCAAGCTTCCTACCATCGTCCATGCAAAATTCAGACAGAGAATGACTAAAGTAACTAAATTATATGCTGTGCCTCTTGTCAATATTCATACTTCATTACTAAATACCTACCTTTAATTATAAACTATTATTCAAATTCTTGCACAAAAACTGAAAGATAATTAAAAAAAAAAGGAGAAGAATTTAAAAATTAAAAATTAAAAAGGGACCTCTTTGTAAAAACCACCAATCTTCACCTCTGATAACAAACAAACCACATGTCCCTCAACTCTTCCCCGCGCCTTCCCTCGCAACTTTTTCGGCGAAAAGCTTCGTCGCCACCATGTTATCAACAAAGAACTCCCTATAAGGGTGATTCCTAGGAAGAAGTTTTGTAAACTTTTCAAACTGCTTCTCAGCCTCATCTTTCTTATTCAATAAAGAGTAAATAAGCCCCATACACAAGTATGGCCGAAAATCCCTTGGCTCTTCCTTAACCAAACCCTCATAAACCTTCAAAGCTTCAGAATGGTTCCCTTCAATTACCCGAATTTGCGCAATCAATAGCTTAAAATCCCTAAAGTCTTTATTTCTCTTCTCCTTCTTGCACTTCTCCATTGCCCCTTCAATTCTTTTTTCCAGTTCTTTCAATTTTTGGCCCGACTCAGAATAAGCGATCACAAGGCCGTGAAAAGCCTCGACCCGAACCGGGTCTTTAACTAATATTTCTTCGAACTCGTTCTTGGCTAGCTCGAAATCGCCACTGTAGCTATGGATTTGGGCTTTTAACATAGACCATTCGGTTTCTTTGGGTTCGAGCTCGATCAAGCGGCCAATAACTTCGATAGCTTGTTGGAGTTTCTTTGATTTGATCCGAACCTCCATGAGAGACCGCAGAGCTTCAACGTCATTGGGGTACTGAATTAAGTGTTCTTCGATGGTTTTTTCTTGATCTTCTAAGGAGATATTCGTGTCCGTTGAGATGGGCTCTGCTGTGGGCGTTACCGTTGGGGAGGCGAGTACGGGTTTTTGGTGGAAGCGAGTGAAGAAGAGCGCGGCAGCGGCGGTAATGGTAATGCAAGTGGCTTTGAGGAGTGGGGTCAGCGTTTGGAAAAGGGATGGTTTGGGGGTTTCATAGAGTGGAGCTGAGGAGGAGGAGGATGGGGAAGATGAAGCTCTGATGGAAGAAAATTTGAACGGAGATGATGAGGGTGAAGTCCTGAAGGAGAGAGAGAAGATGGGTTTAGAGAAGGATGGACGGCAGTGATTGAAAGAAAGGTGGGGAGATTGGAGACGGCAGTGTACTTTAGCCAAAGACCCCATGCTTCTAAAGAAAAAGAGGGGTTTTTTCTGTAAAACCCTGGCAGAGGTAAAATGATAACGGAGAGGCAGAAGGGAAAGTTCAAAACCCATCCAGCAACGAGGAATCCAGAATGTGCGATTTTTGCTTCCAAATAATACGACAGCGTTTTAGACTATTGGAGGCCCAATCATGCTTTGTCCGAGTTAGTTTGAGCCCCAATGATGCTTTGATCAAGTTAAGTTGGAGGCCTCATGAGCACAATCCAGCAATTCCATATCATTCATAAAAATAGGATACGAGTTTATATTTGCATACGTTCCATATGCTGTCAGCCTGTCATCAAATTAACGAACGATATAAGTCAATTAATTTTTCTTTCATTCAAATTTAAAAGATATTTATTTTTTTGAGTTTTTAAATTACTCAAAGTGACAGTATTTAGTTGAGTGATAATAAATAAAATGTATACAATATTAATGCATCAAATATAAGTTTTTTTTTTTTTTTATACACTTCAAGCAAATCAAATGGCTAGGAGAGTGATAAGTTTTTTTATATATATTAATTTTTTAAAGTATTTTTAGTAGGAAAAAATTAAATGTCTTTGAATTCTTTTTTATACACTATTAGTAAAATTTTTTTAATTCTACAAACGGAGTTAAAAGATTAATAAATATTTTATTTTAAAATTAATTTTTTAATATATCTTAAAAATTCATATCCGTCATCTTACTAATTTTATTTATAAAATCTAAAGACTTAGTGAATTAAATATTTTTTCATATATAATTATCTAATACACTAATTTCACTCACATAAATTTTATTATGAAAATTCTATTTTCAAGATTTTAATACTTGTTACTTAATTCCCTAAAATGAAAACATGAAAAGTAGGTAAGTGCATTATTTGGATGCAATATGTTAGTGCATATAGTTTTATCCTTTTTAACAAATCTTTTAAAAATATGTATTACCTTTCCAACTTCGAATGAGATTAAAAAGTTCATTGATAATGTATAAGATAAATTTTCATATTTTATATTAATAATCATTATTTAGGATAGTTTTTAAAATTTACTAAGTGAAGTTAAAATATTTTTATGTACTTTTTTTAAATTTAATTTATTAAAATCTTTAAATATACCCTAATGAAGTAAAGTAACAAGTCACAATTTTGAAATATATGAGATTTATTTTCATTAGAAAGAAAAATAAATTAGACATATACAAGCCTCGTTAGAGTAGGAATGGCTGGCTTATCTGTGAATATTTGTGTAGGTTTCATAATTTCATTTGTAGATATCTCATGTCATGATTCTTTTGCATTACTCTTGAGCGAGATTTTAACACTAGTTAATTACACACCAATTGTCATTATTACTTATATACTAGTGATGAGGATTCAGTTTCGTCCGATCTGTTATAAAAATTTTAAGTATTTTATTAAATTGGTATTTGTTTGAGTTAAAAGTTAGAGTGATATGTGCAATTAACCTTTCCTAAATCCTTTTGAGAATTTAAGTTTGTCATCATCGTTAATTATATATTAGTGATGGTGATTGATTTATTATAAAAATTTTAAGTATTTTTTAAATTGATATTTGTTTGAGTTAAAAGTTAGAGTGGTATATTTAGTTAACCTTCCTTAAATCTTTATGAGAATTTAACCTTATGTAAATTTAGTATTGAGAAGCTAAAAGCTTCAAAACAATAATTCACATTATGAACATTGAACTATTGAGATAGTCCTACGATACTTAGCCACGACTTAGAGACTCTTTTGTTGGCTCTAAAAGTTCATGTCCAATAGAAAGTATAGCAATTGTTGGTGTAGGTTGCACCTATAAATCAACCATATTTTTTAGATTATGAAAAGTCATCAAAACCAAAATAGTGAGCAACATAATATATTCACCATCGTAACATACATTATAACAAATAATCCTACTTTTGAAGCACCAATTCTTTCTCCAGATTTTAGAACTATTACATTTTTTTGAATGTCACATCCCTACAATACAGACGCTTGTTTGAGCTTTTGAAATAAAAAAAAGAAAGCATGCAAATGTAAAGTTATTTCAGATCAAAGCATTCATTATAAAGAAAAACGTTAGAAATTATAGAATGCAAAAGACATAAGTACAATCAAATTTATCATTACTTTGAAATTCTAAAAAAAAAAAAAGAACTTCTTAGACAAAACCAAACTAATAGAACACCTTTGCAAGCCTTGAATGAAAATTCAATAAAATCACAATGACCCTATTTCCAAACGGAGGATTACAATTCAACTACAGTAATTCAACTTCAAACTACAATCATGGCTCTAAAAAAGAAAACAAATGAAAGAATAATTTTTATTCATAAATAAGTAAAATTTCATACAACATAGGGAGACAAAAAAGAAAACCCGTTTAAGTGAGATGGGAAAAGTTAATTTTTCTAAAAGATCAAGAACTTTAACCATCTGTTTAATGATAAGACGCTAACTCCTATAAACAACAACACATGCTACCACATTCCTTCTTTGAGGCCAACTACTTTCAGAATCTTCAATCCTTAATAGAACTTCCCTTAAAAATTCCTAAAACAGGTTGGCCCAGCAACAATTGCCAGCAACCTCCACTTAGTTTGAACATTCCAGTTGGTCTTAAACTACCGAGCGTAACCTTAACTTGGCAATGCATTTTATTTTCATGAATAACGTTAAAAAGTATAACAAAACTTAACATTATTGCATGTCAATTTCTTTATTTTCCATAGGATGCCATGATACTTGATCTATATGTCTCAGTTAGTTCTACAAATACAACTGCTTTCCTAGGCCATATTCAACTTCCTAAACTCCACTCTTTGGTTATGAACTATTTTTCTTCATTAACTATACACATAAATCACATTAAAAGCAAGACAATAAACTCAAATTCAAGTACAACCACAATGATCCACAACACTACATAATAAAAAGTTCTTTTCCTTTTCATCACATTCAACATAAAATCATATGAAACTGACATTCAAAGTTAAGGAAAGAAACCAAAGAAAATACTAAAAAATAATATACTTCTAGTTTAAACTCTAAACAACTCCTAATGAATGTGAGTTTAAACACTCAAAATTCAAAGTCAAGGAAAAAAACCATATTAAAATCATATACTTCTTGGTAAAACTTTGAACAACTTCTAATATCATGAAAATTTAATAGTCAGTTTTTTTGTGATTTAAAATCATATAAAAAGTATCCAAACTAAAAAACAGAGGTAATGAAAACAACTAAAACTCATTTCCATCCAAGATTACAACATGCAAAGACAAAATCTTATCAAAAAATGCATTCTCAATAACATGCAATCTCCAAACCACAAAACCCGAAACCCATTCAACAATCAAATTCCATTAAACAAAATTACAATCTGTAATACCAAAATGATGACAATGAAACCTAAAAGAAAAGAAAAATTGACATTCAATGAAACAAAAAAAGAGAACAAAATTTTGTATAAAAAACAGCTAAAAAAAAGCAATAACTAAAGAAAAACGAAAGGAAAAACTCACACAAAAAGAAGCCTTTCCCTAAACGCGACAATAGCTCTGTTTCAAACAAAAATACAAACAACATAAAAAAATTTTAAAAACAAAGAAAACCTACACCTGTCAAACATAGAAGCACAAAAAAGAACAGCTGTTAAAGAAACTTCTTCATCATCTAGTGGATCAAACATAAAAAAGGAAAAAAAATAAAAAAAACCAACCATCCAGTAAAAACTCACTTAGTATAAAAGGGAAAAAAAAAGACACGTGTCCTTCCTAGATCCTTTTATAAATCCTTTTTATATAAGGTTATATAGTTATGCATATGTAAATGATGAGATTAATTACTCCCAAGTTTTTAACCAAGAAAAGCCATTTTCACTTAGATTCTTAAGCAATGACTAATAATGTGCAAGTGTTTAGTTGCTCATTTGGGGTAGGAATGCGGTAAGGGAGGCCGTTTTTCTCCATTTTCCCTCTCTATTTGACACTTTAATGTCATTGGACATGGTGCCCTCTTGTTAGGATATAATCAAGCCGAGTTGATAAAATAAAAAACCTCAAACTCAATTCAAAATTTGTTATTCAAAATTTGATTTGAATGCGATTGAATTTAAATTTTTTTACTCGAGTTCAACTCGAGATAAATATCAAACTATTCAAACTCACTCAATTGATTCGTTTATTAAATAAAAAATGAATTCAATTCTTAAACTCCACTTTAAGTTTGATTATTTGTGTTTGTTATTCAAACTCAATTCAAAATTTGTTATTCAAAATTTGATTTGAATGCGATTGAGTTTAAATTTTTAACTCGAGCTCAACTCGAGATAAATATCAAAATATTCAAACTCACTCAATTGATTCGTTTATTAAATAAAAAATGAATTCAATTCCTAAACTCCACTTTAAGTTTGATTATTTGTGTTTGAACTTGAGTTGGAACTCAAATTAATTTATATAAAAGTAAAATAGTAATTTTTAATTAAAATAAAAAAATATATATTAAAATAAAAAAATTATACTAGACCTACTATCTATTTGAATTCAGTATTAAAATATTCAAACTCAACTTATTCAATTAGTTAAGCTATTCAAGGTGTTGAGCTACTAAAAGTTAAATTGAGCTCAATAACAATCAAATAAAATTTGAATTTTATCTTTATCGAGTAATTTGAAAGCATTATATCATTTACACCGTTATCTATATATTTTTGTTTCTAGACATGTTTATACAGTGTTGCCACCCTGAAAATCTGCTGATCTTGAAATAGAATGGGTTGATTAAAGGTGAAAGAACTACGTTTGCCAACGGTTTATCATCTTCAATTCATCATCGATCATTTATTCATTGATAGTACTACTCGTTATTCCTTTGCTCACATACGGAAATCACAAGCTTCTCTGTAATTGACGTCCAATCCCTTTACATGTAAGAGGGTCTAAAAATTCCAATCAGGGTCGTACCCATTAGATTCATGAGTTTTTAATTTTTTTTTTTTATTTTGCTTTCAGAATTTTCGATCGTTTGGGATACTAGGCATTGCAGTACATATGTCACAAGCTTTTGAACATTTGGGACAAATGACAGAGTGCAGCGGGGTTTCTTTCAATCATTGAACAGGAATTAGGTTTCTCTCGTGGTTGGATATTTCCTTTATTTTCATTTGACAATGATTCTGCAGGAATCAGAGTTTTCCGGATCGAAAGAAGAAAAATAGTAACCATTTCAAGTATAGTGAAGCGAATAGCAGACATGATCAGCAGCTTGTTGTTCAGTGCAAGTGAACTCCCATAATCAGAATTCATGTGCCAAAGCTGACTGAGCCTAGTTATGAAAATGGTTGCCAACTTATAACTCAGTTAATCCATCTTTTTCTTAAGAGATGACATTTAATAATGTTAAATTTTAAATTTTAATATTCATAATTTTTTTATTTTAGAATTGTAACATTCTTTATAAAAAAAGAACAAAGTCCGAAAAGAAATATATTCTTAGGATTTAAAGAATATATATATCCTTTTACATTACAACTTTTTAAGGTATGTTATCATTTTTTTAAAACTACTATAAACTCAAATTGTAATGTTTTTATTTTGTTAATATTATCTTTTGCAGTGATTCTGCACATGATCCAAAATCATTTCAAGGTTATTACCTGAACGCTTAGTCATTCACATGCCTAGTGTTAGATAGCTTTTTGCATCGATTCAAAGCATTTCTAACTATTAATTTGCTCCTTGATTGCTCTAATCCAATTCAATAAAGAAAATTTTTTACTTAAAGCATTTTTGACCGACTGTGGAAATGACAGCTTCAAGTAAAATGCAATAACTAGATGGGACAAACCACAAGTGGGGGGATTGGCATTTGGGATCAGAACTCATACTGTGTAAAGTTCATCAAGTTGGCTTTCTCAACCGCATACTTTACATCGTATACATATGAACAAAAACAAAGACATGCTGTTGGGCAATGGCCAATGGGCGATATATATAAATTGATCCCTTGCTTCAAATTCATTGATCAAAACGAAAAAAAGAAAGTTTGGGATGTGACAATGACGCACAGTCGTCAGTCGTCCCTTTTAAACATGGTCCCAAAATCCCATTCCCACGACTCATTTAAACATACAAATACTACGGACAGAGAGAAAGGCCAAAGGGGGTTAAGTTTTTACGAAGAAACCTAGCTAGCCTGGACTAGGACACGGGAGTCAGGACACGCAATCAAAAGAAACAAAGAGGGCGGTGACACGTTTATACAACGTGCCATCAAGTCATGCAACCCCCGTCCACACACTGCTCCACATGCCGTCACGCTTCCCGATTACTGTTTCTCTTTTCCTTTTTTTTTTTTTTTTGTTTTTTAATCTTTTGTTCTTCATCAATGATTTTTACTACAACCAACCAATCCAACGACGTCGTTTTATCGTTTTCTTTCTCTTCACTCTTGTTGTAGGCTCCTTTTGGAGTCACAGGCAATGCCGTGTAGGAAGTGACTTTCCGAAGCATCTCTACTGCGGGACTTTTATGCTGATTATTAATTACATAAACTACTTTAATAATTCTAACTCTTGATTTGAGTTATAGATAATCAGTCCTTGCCATTATTCTCCCTTATGGAAGCATCGAGCCTACTCTGGATCCTTTGCCTTTTCTCTATGTCAGTTGCTCTCTGGTCTCTGCCGCTTGTGTAAGCCTCGAAGAACTCCTTGTTCTCTTTCTCCAACTCATTCCAAACTGTAACCAGACAATACAGATCATATATTATAACTGAGAAAAAAAAAAAAAGAACTCAAGATCCTTAATTTCTAGGCATTGACTGGCATCAAAGTCAGAGAATCCAATCACAAAAACTTCATGGACGTGTAATTAAGCTTGGTTGGAATGTTTTATTCATAAGTGATAAAGATAAAGAAAAAAGGTGAGTGAACCTGTTGAAGTAATGACTGGTTTAATATTTGCATGCTTAGACAAAGCTTCCATGCACTCTTCTTTGCTCATGTTGAATATCAAGCATTCTTCTATAAGATGGTGCACCTGCATATAATATATACATGATCATGACCATATTTGATCATCTTAGCAGCAAACTTTAATGGAAATTATAACTGAAAATTAAGATGATTAATTGATTATTACTTACCATGTGGATGTATGAAGCAGAAGAGTCAGCCATAAATCATACAAATATTATATTATTAGCACTAAAAGAAGCGCTTCAACTGTTAAGGCTTTTATATACCAAGAGGTAGAAGGATAGGAAATTTATAGAAGAACAGAGATGAGGGAGAAACTAGTAAAGGAAGGGAAAAGCGGACAAAATAAAAAGGAAAAGAGAAAGTAGGAGCAGACTAAATCTAGAGTGGGAAGAATCAGATACAGGTCAAGTGAAGGCCAAAAATGTTGAATATATAGACCATGGCCTGTGGGTGATCAATGGGATATTATTATTTTTTATAATAACAATGGGATATCATTAAATAATAATAAAATGATGATAATTAATCCACGATTAAATAAAAAAGTATTGATGAATTTTCAATAAAATATTAAATTATTTTTCATATTTAAAAAAATTATTTGATATATTGATAATAAATTTTTTTAATTTTATAAACAAGAATAAAATAATGATAAATATCTTAATTTTTTTAAATTAATTTTTTAAAATAGATAAAATATATTTTATCATTTTAATTTTGTTTGTGAAATTAGAATATTTTATTATCAATATATTTAATATTTTTTAAAAAAATACTTATTAATTTTAAAATTTATATAACTATCAATATAAAAAAATATTTATAATGATAAATGATATTTAATAATTCAATTGATGAAAAACCAAAATTTTAGGAGATTACAAATTTGAAAATCAACAAATAGCAACTTTCAACAATGTGAGCATCAATGTGATATTTCCATTTTCAAAATTCAAATATCATTCTTTCTATTTACTTTTAATTAATTAAAAAACAAAGTTTTTTTTTTTTTTATCTGATGAATGGTGACATAGGTTGTTGGTGGGGTCCAAAATCCCACGTGGGACGATGTCTATGATTGGTGGAGAGGAGATTAGAGGAGATTCTATCAGCAGCCCTCATTTGTTCTTACATGGCCACTACGCCACTCTCCACGTGACACGTGGGACCCCAACCTTCTACATTTAGGTGTGCTAGGGCAGGTTACACCTCGTGCTGTCCACAATCTGGAACGGCAGCACCCATTACCAGGGTCCCGCACTTTAAACAAAAAATGACACGTGAAACTACCGTATGTATTTATCCTCACATGAGTCGCGATTGAATCCGGTGACATTTACATTCTGTCTGATTCGCGAGAAATAAATTTTAAAAAATAATATATGCATTTTTAAATATTTATTTAATAAAAAATTAATTAATCAATAAAAAATAATTTATTGATTAATAAAAAATTTATTTTTTAAAAAATTATCTCATAAATTAAAAAAAATATAAGATATTTGTTGAAAAAAAAGTATTTATGAGTAAAACTATATATTAATATTTTTTAATATAATTTTACCTATAAATAATATTACATTAATAAATAATATTATAATTTATTCATAAATATTATTATATTAATTAATTAATATTATAATAATATATTATTAATACATAATATACTATTAATATAATATATTAATAAATAGTATTTTAATAAATATGATTAATAATATTATAATATATTAATAAATAATATAATAAATAATAAATAATTTTATTTTAAGTATTTTAATATTAAATATTATTATCAAAATATAATTATTTTTTAATATTAATAATTTTAGTAATAAATACTTTTAATATACTTTAATAATAAACAACTTTTAATATTTTAATAATTATATTAATATTATTTGAAAAAATAAATTTTTTAAAAAATAATCAAATAACAAAAAATATTTTTTATTAACTCAATCAAACAATAAAAAAATCTCTTTTAATTTAAAAAACATCAATATTTTTCAAAAATCACTTTTTTAAAATTATTTTATGTGAAACAAATAAAATTTTAATTTACTTACACTGTTACCCTCCTTACAATATGCCATGAAAAATTCGTGAGGCACGACACACTTTTTTATCCATTTGCTATAGTTGGAAAATAAAGGGGCAGGCTTTCGTACACCGCGGTTGTCACTTGCCATGTTGTTTTCTTTTGATTTATAATTGAACAGGGCGTTTATGAAGTTCTGTGTTTAGTGGTTTATCTACTTCTTAGGACAATGAGGGAAGACGGTGGGGGCGTTAAGGAGTCCATCTCCTAGGTGCGGTTTTATGGGGTCCATCTCCTGGCCTTTTGTTATCCTAAGATCAAGTCCTAGCCGTATCAAAAAGTTTAATACATTATATGTGAAACTTAGAATTTTTTTTTTATAAAATTAAAAAGTGATCAATTTCATTTATAAAATTTAAAAATTTGACCAATAATATTTGAAATAATCCTTTATTCTACATTTATATAACAATAGTAAACTAAATTTTATATCTCCTAATTTTAGACTCAATTATATGAAAAGCCAAAAAAAAAAAAAATCATGTTAGGTCATAATTTTAAATTTTTTTACGTCACTTATTTTTATTCAAAATAATTTTTTCATCTACTTTGTTAATACTCATAAAATTTTATTACTTGCATCTATGTTTTTCATGGTTTATTTCTAAAAATTTTGGTCTTTAATAAATCTAAAAGCTCATTTCTCATAATTGATGTATAAATAAACTTACGTTTCACATATTCAAACTATTTCAAATGGTCAACTCTCATCTTTTCATTAATTTGAACTACCTCTAATTTTTCTTGAATTTCTTCCTTTTCTAATTTTATCTTTTGTAGTCTTACCATACATCTATCTAATTATTTTTATCTTAGCTACTATTATTTTCTTCTCATGTTGTTTCTTAACGACCTAATATTCAATTCCATATAACGAGCAGGTCTTACAATTATTTTATATAACTTCACCTTTAACTTTAAAGTCATATTACAATCGTATAACACACCTGACACACTTCGTCATCTCAATTATCATGTTCGTCTAATTTACAATCTTTTTTATTTTAGTATCGCTCTAAATAATTGATCCTAAATATCGAAAATGACTACTCTTTAGTACTATCACTTACCATCCAACTTAATCACACTAGTACTCATTTCCTTATGATTTCTAAACTTACATTCCATATATTCAATTATAGTTCTACTCAACTTGAGCTTCGAGACTCTAGTGTATACTTTCATAATTCTAATTTCGTATTAAGATTATCACTAGTTTCAACAACTAAAACTATATTATTGACAAATAATATACACCATGACACATATCTTGGATATGTCCAGTGAGTTTCTCTATATCTAATGTAAAAAGAAATAAATTTAACATTGAGCCTTAATGTAATCTTAAGATAATAAGAAAGTTATCAATTATGCCCCCAAGCCTTTTCACATTTGTTGCAACTCTTTTATACATATTTTTAACTATGTTAATATACTTTAAAGGAACTCATTTCGTCATTAAGACCCACCAAAACACCTTTAAGGAAACTCTATCATATATTTTTTTTCAAGTTGATAAATGTCATATATAGATCTTTCTATCTCGCCTAAAAACCTTTAAACAAAAGCCTTAATAGATGAATTATCTCTGTTATGGAGCGTCTTGGCATAAACCTAAATTGGTTTTCGAAAATAATGATCTCATGTCACAACCTACATTCAATTACTTTCTCCCAAAGTTTCATAGTATAACTTATAAGCTTTATTCCTTAATAATTTGAATAATTTTGTATATCACATTTATTCTTGTATAATGGCACTAAAATACTTTTCGTCCATCTTATAACATCTTTTGAGTACACCAAATTTGGTTGAAAAGATTAGTTAACCATCCTATTCTTATTTCATCCAAGCATTTTCAAACTTCAATCGAAATTCCATATAGTCCTACAACTTTATTTACTTTCATCATTCTTAAAGTCTTTTTAACTTCATACCTTTTAATATTCTATTTAAACACATAATTTATATCCTTGAAAGGTATATTAAGCTCACTTATATCATGCTAAAAATTACCATTAAAGAAATTATCAAAATAATCTCTTTATCTCTTTTCAATCTCCTCATCCTTCACTAAAACTCTTTCGTCATTGCCTTTGATGCATTTTACACCATTAAGATCCCTACTCTTCTAATCTCTCATTTTAATAATTTTGAACAACTCTTTTTCTCCATCTTTTATCTCTAGATTTTATATAATTTCTCATGGATTCTAGTATTTGAATTTCGAATAACACTTTTGGCTTCTCTTTACTTATTTTATAGTTCAAATAACTCCACTCATCATTATTATTCATTAAATTCCTATAATACTCCCATTTAACTTTAATTGTCATTTTCACATCCTTATTCCACCACCAAGATTTCTTTCTTAATTATGCACGACTCTTAGATTCACTAAGTATCTCTTTAGCAACCTTTTGAATTTTGTTAGAAATATTTTTTCACATTACATCTACATTCTCATCAGGCTTCCTATCAATCTTTTTTATTAGTCTATCACTAAAATCTAATATTTTGTCTCTTTTCAAGTTCTACCATTTAATATATGGTTCATAACTCTGACGTATCCTCTTTGACTCATGAAAGTGAAAGATATCTAGAACTATTAATCTATATTATGTTGTCACACTTTCACTTGATATAATCGTGCAATCCTTACAGTTACGTCTATCCTATTTTCTTGTAAAAAAGAAATCAATTTGATTAGCGTTTAACCCACTTCTAAAAGTCACCAAATATAGTTCTCTTTTCTTAAAACACATGCTTAATATAGTTAAGTCAAATATAGTAACAAACTCTAAAATATTATTCCTAGTATTGTTTCTTTCTCCAAAATCACATCTTCCATGCACTTTCTGAAAGTCACTACAATCCTTACCTACATGATCATTCATGTCTTTTCCAATAAACAAATTTTCAATGTTTAGTATGGCTCGCACCATCTTGTCTAAAATTTTCCAAAGTTTTTTTTTGCTTGATCCAAACCTATTTACCAGGAGTAAGCACTGATAACGTTAACAATTTCCTCTCCTAATATAAGTTTAACATATAAAATTTTGTCTCCCTTTCTTTTAACCTCAATCACATTATCCTTAAAATTCTTATTTGCAATTATCCTCACTTCATTTCTACTCCTTTCCCTCCCAAGTATCAAAGTTTAGAGCCCCATATTTTTATCTCTTTAGCTTTTTTCCCTACCCACTTAATTTCTCGAAGACATAACATTAATTTCTCTCATAATAATTACCTCTCCTATCTCTACTAACTTTTCAGTTAACAATCTTATATTTTAATTAGCTTACCAGTCATTAATTCTACTCCACATTTATATGATAGTGAAATGGTTTAAAGTTGCATAAAAAATTTAATTTAATTTAATTTATTTATAGAGTTATTTATAAGAAGCTACATCTTACAAGTTTGAAATATAGATTTTTAATATTTACAATCTCTCATTTATCCCTAAACTATTAGAATAATACCAATTTAGTGTTATTATTTGCGACTAAAAATGGGATAAGAAATAAAGAGATAATGATCCAGAAAATTTTGTTAAAGATTGTCATATTAATTGACAAGTCTTATGGTATAAGCTATGATTTGGTTCATTATATAATTTGAGCTCTCCAAGTATTCAAGATACTTCATATCAATGATTGATTTGGGGTTTGCCGGTTAAAATTGCTGACCCCTTCCTGACGCCTAAGTGTATCTATTCTATCATCAGTAGCGACAATTCTACATTTTGAGCCATATGCCTCAGAACTTAAAAAATTTGGCCAAACATCCACCAAGATTCAATGAAGTTTGCCGTTTCAATTGTCGTTTCTGCACATTGAAGTTGTAAGGAAACCATAAGCGCAGGCAGATGGTACAAATTGAAGAATCCCATGCGATCAATGCTTTTAGCCTCTACGATCGTGTCGGGCCGACTCTTTGATCATCTTCTACTTCACATGATAGCAGCGACAGCTTTCACCATCTTCGGAATTTATATATTAATAAAGGATTCTAACAATTATTACGTTTTGTCTAATTTTTTATGTGCTGTTTAAAATATTAGTTTAGCTACAGCATTACTGACTAAAATACTTTTGTTGGTGCAATTACAGCTAGAAACCACAACCCAAGGTTTTGTTGTTACTTTAGAACAAAAAGAAAAACAGCGTTTTGCTGTTTGTTCACGTTTACAATATTGACAGGCATACTTTGACTCAAAGGTTTATTTGGTAGACGGCAAGACTAGATTCGGTAAAATTAGATGAAATTAAATAGTAGGTTGATAGATAAAGTTTTGCTGTTTGAAAGTCATAATGATGGTAAAATTAAATATTGTATATAGTATTGGTGAGAAATTTTTTATTTTTTCGTCTTAAGATCCAGTTGTTCTTTAAACCCGTCTCCACCTGAGAATAACCGGGAGCAATTGCACTATTTAGCTGTACCCCACAATACAATTAACCCAAAAAAGAGCTGAATTCCACCGCAGCAGCAGATGTGCAGCCGAATCCAAACAGGGCCGTAAGCAAACAATTGGTAGATGGGTATAAAGTTGATCATAAGAATTCAAGATTCATAGCATTGTTCAGCTGTACTTAATTAGTTCATCTCTCGAGTACAGAGCAACCCAACTAGTGGGTTACACCACAAGTTTATGATTAGATAGTTTAGAATTTAGTGAGATAATCCTATACAGAGAGATAAGGAATCAAAGTGTCTCTCCCGGATGGGGAGAGGAAGAGAATTTGCAAGAATAAGATGTAGAAGCATCGATAAAATTTTTAATACAACTTTTCTACTGCTCTTCTTGAATATCAGACCGCAAACCGGAAAATTATCAGGTGGATACAATTCAAAGAGGAACACCATTTAATAAACATTCTGAGAAACAAAGGAAACCGGAAACAAACAAAAAGATGCTAATTGCATGTTCAAGAAAAGAAATGAGTATACACTATACATATATATGATCCTGCAAATATATCTTTAAAGAGAAAAAATGCCAGTCAACAAATGCCTCACCATGCAAGGTTGCTCAAGCACGGTTATTAACAAAGATCCCAATCTCCAATTACAAGGAGTAGCCGAACCTTCTATGATCTCTTGTAAAAAATGGATGTCTCAGTGCTTCTCTAGCTTTAAGTCTCTCAGCTGGATCATAACGTAGTAGTCCTTGCAAAAGATCAATCAAATCGCCAGCAGAATGATCCACATGCTGCATTATTAAGTTCTGTAGCACATAAAACCAAAGCAATCAGGAAAGAAGGGTGGTTTAGGAGCAGAAGTCAGGGAACAAAAAAGGTAGTGATGTTGCCCAAAGTTCCACATGTGGAGGCTATATCAACAACTTTAGAAATAAGGTTATTGTCAATATCATGTGAGTTAAGATAATTTCCAATAAGTTATAAAGAAGAGCATATTAATGACAACTTACCGGCAGCCGGGGCAATTTCCAAACTGCCCTCAGGCTTTCTTTAGAAGTTGCACCATCGGGCCAATCGAGACGTGTGCCCCTCTGAAAATATTTCTCAGCACGGCGGCTGCAACAATATCAGGCACAATGTAAGAACTTCCTCTGCAACATATTCACAGCAAGAACAAGCAACACAGTGTCACCCTTACTCAGCTCTGAGCACCATATGTTGCGGTAATGGCCCTAAAACCCTCTCCATCATGGCAAGATGCTCTAAGTTTTCATGAGTTTGGAAAAGTGCCTCACCCTGCTCACGAAGAGTGTACAAGATTTATGGCCCTAATCACCTTTTTAGAAGCAAAAGACAACATGTTCTAGATTCCGACAAATCAAACATGAAACTTTTAAGTTGGGTTCCTATCAATGAACACATGAAACCACATTCTAGCAACCGTAAAATGGGATTTATCATCTGCAAATATTCTTGACATGCTTCTTACATCATATAAAATGAGGTTTATCTTCTTGACATGCTTCTTAAATCATCTGTAATCTTATTAACTAACAACTAGCTAATAGTGGTTTCTAAAAGCTTCTCATTTCCTCTTTCTTTGACAAATTATTTTTTGCTCCAGCATTCAGTGAGACCAATAAGGCAGTAACTTATACTAGGAATACAAATGAAAGTAAAGTGCCCCTTTTTCCCTGAGGGAGGGTGTGGAAAGAGAATACAAAGATTCACTTACAGAGCAAAGTTCAACCAGTATGCAACCCACACTCCACAAGTCACAAGGATAGTTCCATCCAAGACCTGCCGAAATAACGAAGAATGTCAACAAGATGCACATATGTGCACACAATTACACATAATATGCAATCGATGGTGAAGATGATGATTACCAAGTATGACTTCTGGTGCACGATAATGCCGAGTTGACACCACATAGCTGTGATCCTGGTGTTCAAATGTTGTACTCCCAAAATCAATCAGCTTTATTGCACTTGACTTTGGCAGATTCTTAAAATAGGAACCATCTTTTGTAGACCGTGACAAAAACTAGAGCACATGCAAAAGGACATTTTTCAAGAAATCAGCAATCAGAATTTAAAGATGTCTCAGTTTCATTGTACATAAACTGTAAATTAAGCAGTCCCCAATTACAAGCACAAAAGCCAAACAGCATGCCTAGGGAATAGAAAAATGAAGGGATACCTTATAATCTGGCACCTTGATATATTCAGAGGAAACAAGGAGAATGTTTTCTGGCTTCAAATCAGTGTGAATTAACCGCAAATCATGCATAACTGCACAATTGAAATAAAAAGTAACTAAGCTAACTAGATGCAAAACTAACAAAACTTTTATCTATTTTAGGGTAATGAAATACATTATCATCATTAATCCCCAGCTTGTCTAACCAAAAATTATGTTGGGTTTGAAGAAAAAAGTGGAAACTTAGACAATAAATTAACAAATGATTCAAAAGCTCTTGCTTCATACTAAAAGGGGTTTGAGTATCAAGTAGATAAAATACATATTAAAAACAGTGCAAGAATTATCCACACACATGCTACAGACTCCAAAATTTGTCTGCCAAGCTCCCGAACAAGATCAATGGGAAATGAACGGTAGCTGTTTTTGCGAAGAAAATCGTATAAGCTAGGTCCAAGCCTCTCAAATACCTGTTGAAACCATTTAAATTCATCCGCAAGTTTTTTAACTCACAGAATATTTAAGAATGAAAGAGCTTGCATTGCCCCCTCAAATTAATCAAATAGCAAATACCAATAAATACTTACAATACAAATATGATTACGATAGTCAAACCAATTCCGTATTTGCACACAACTGCAAGGAATGAAACCACTTATACCATAATCACTTCAATTTCTACAATAAATAAGAAAACATAAAAGACAAGATGACATTCTTACCGAGCACCACCAACATCATGCCTAGCAAGTCTCTGAAGGACGTCAATTTCAATCATGGCAGCTTCACGATACTTGTTTATGGAGCGAACAATTTTTATGGCCACAACTTCTTGCTTTTCATTGTCAAAACATTCTAGGACTTGGCCAAATGTTCCTGCAAAATTACCATTAAATGGACCACAATCCATGTTAAACAACAATCCCAAATATTACACGGATTATAATATTAATATCACAATTCTCATTTAATGGCAGCCACACCCCCCAAGATTGCAATTCCTTAGATTCAAAGAAAATACTAACCTTCACCCATTTTACTGAGAATCCTGTCTGCAGAAATGAAGAATAAAAGAATATAAGTGAACAAATTTGAATATGACGTAAATGGGGAAAAGATGCAAGAATATTCAAGGTGTTTGGCATGACAAAGTAATTTCATTCGAAGATATTCAAAACAAGTTTAATATTAAATGCCCAAAAACCAAATTAAACCAGTGGGTGTTATCAAATCTACATACAAAACATATATCATAGTCAATTTTGCAATAAGAGAGACGAAATTACATCGAGGAGTTAGGTTTTCTCCAACGGCAAAAACATAATGGCCATCTTTATCATCAGGTCTCCAAGGAGGAGAGCAACTGCGAGGAATTCCCCTGTAAAACATATTATTAGGATATGAAAAGTTAGAAATCCCTCCATTCCCGAATTCCTGACCGCAATATATTGCCGGAAGAACCTGTGAAACCAAAATCACAAAATAAAATATCAAGATAAAAAAAAATTCATTCCTATAATCAAAAGATCATTTCTTTACATGAAAAATTAAAAATAAAAAGGAAATATAATTATCGATCAGTGATCACGACATCTCATTGCAGTTAAGTTTTTCCATAAAATTATTTAAAATTTGTAAATAAACAAAATTCGAGGGAAATTAGGGAAATTTGTCAAACTACCACATCAAAGCAAAACTCGAAAAAATCACTATTATTCTGAGTAATTCTTCAACATATAAGAAAAAAATCTGAAACTTTCAACAAATTCACACAAAGGAGAAAAAAGAAAGAGAAATCGTTTCTTTTTACCTTAGGAGGAGGAAGAGGAGGGGGCATATCCCACGTTAACCTGGGCCTTTTCCTGGGCCGTTTATCCATATTCTTGTGAGGAAACTCAATTATCCTCTGCGTCTCCATTTTTTCTTTCCCTATTTTTCAATTCAATCTCTAAAGAAAAAAAAATTCAAACAGCAAAAAATTTTTTGAAGAATTCGTTGGTTTGACGAAAGCTAGAATACGAAAAAACGAAGAGATATTTGACCGATTTAGGAGATTTTTGAAACCCTAATCTCCTTTTTGGGGAGACAGATCTGAGGAGCTAATTCTGAGAGAGGATCTAACCCGGATCAGAGGTTTGGTTAACCATAGATTTTCTAACTATGATTAAGGTGGGGACCACTTCCTCTTGTTTTCTCTTTTTTTTTTTTTTTAAGGGGACTAATTAATTGATGTGTTTATTTGACGCGTGTATATTAGTGGGCCCATAGTACTGTTAATGGGTTGGCCCCAAAAGACAGGCTTTTCAGGTTAGTGGGCTTCTGCTTAAGCCCAAATTAAAAACGGTGAAACTAATAGGTCCTATCAACGTTAATTTTTTGAGATAATAATCTCTTATAGAAATATTTAATATGATATTTAAATTTTAAAATATTTAATAAAAATTTAATTATTATTTAAATTTTAAAATTTTTAATTAATAATTAAATTATAAATTTATTAATTAATATATTATTTGAAAGGTTGTTTATTCGTTACAAATCAACATGTGAAGTTAATCACGTTAAAAATAAGTATCATATTAATTAATAAATTTATAATTTATGTATTACATTAGAAAATTTTAAAATTCAAATATCTCATTAAACATTTCACTATAATTTAAAAAACCATTCATAACGTTAATTTTTATTTTTTTACTGATTTCATTCATTTTATTATTTCTTCAAGAAAAATAAATAATATCCCTTGCCGTGTTTTATAGCACTAATTTTTACTATTTAGGTAAGAAAAAAATTTGAATAGTGCATTTCCCTATTGCTTTATTAGGATAAAAATTTCCTTGGAAATAAAAAAACAGGATGAACAGTCGTTTAATTATTGGTAAAAAAGGATTAGATTATTAATTTTAATAATCAATGATTTCTTGACAACATCAAATATAAAGAAAAGGAAACCAATATTTAGAATTGGATTTTGGTTCAAGTTGCCATATAAATTGGGAGGATGAAAATAGACTTAATATATTATTATCTTTTAAATCATCAATGTACACATTATGTACGAAAAATGTTTCATTTCTTATTGTATACCAGAAGTATGATGCTTTTGATGTGGGAAACAAGATTAGGATAATCTAAACATGAAATTAAGACAATGACAAACGTTTACTTCCACTTGTTTACTTTCTTTGAAAGCATTTACCAAATTTTTTAATATAAAAAGGTCATATCTTAGAAATAAAAAAAATTACAAATACTAAGATATAAAATTAAAACTAATTAAGTTAAGTTTCTGGTTCTCCGATAAATTCAGCATATTCAATGAATCTTCTTTAGTAACGTCATATTATATATATATATATATATATATATATATTTGGATAAGTGTTGTATTCATTATCCAAGAAGTAATAAACTACTACAAAGATAAAAGTATAGCTTATTTCAGTTCATTATTCTAAGTTCTCTTTACTTAGCCCCCAACGTTCACAGGATTCTATATTTACATGATCATGAACAAGCCCCTTTGAACCAATTAACCTTAGTCGAACTGCTGCTTCCTTCTATCTGCTTTGCTATTTGATTCTTTTCAAGCTCCTCTGCCCTATAAACTCGTTTGTTTCTTTCTGCCCATGTCCACTATATGTATGCACTCCAGGCAAGTCTAATTATGATAGATAACAGAGCCTTCTCTCGCAGCTTGTTTATGGCCCATTGGAACTCATCTTCCCAACCTACAACTTCCCTCCTTAGGTTGCACAATAACAGCACCTGCTTCCACATATTTTTTGAGTACCTGCAGCCAAAGAATATGTGTTCCCTACTCTCCCTGTCCTGCCCGCGTAGCACATCTAAATTTTCTTGAACATGTAAATGTATTTAAAATTTTTACTTGGTGTTAAAAATATAGTTAAATCTGGTAAAACCAAAAGACTATATATCATGAAATTAAAAATGGCTGGAGAAGATGTATATTTATTTGATTCCTTTCCTTTCACAGCAATATTTTTTCATTGCTTGGTAATACAAATGGAGAAGAGCTTCTTTAACAAGAGCACTGAATTTGAAATAGAATTACCAAAGGTTCGAACCAGTACTTAGTCTCATATTCTGCTGAATCTCCCAAGTCTAATTTATCCCATCGGTCTTTCTTGATATAAGTTCGTCCTCGAATGAAGATTCACAGGAAAAAAAGTGTGACCTTTAGCAATAAAGGCAGTGTAGCATAATAGAAGTCCAACGCCGTTCTTCTTTTTCTACCAACTAGACATAAAACTCCATTAGAAAGCTGGAAGCTTCACTCTCCTGTGAATGCTGGATACAAAACCTGAAGACTGTGTAGATCTCATCCATCTGGCTGTGTTTGCAATCTTTATTCAGGAAAACATGAACTTTGTTTCTTATTTCAATCCAACTGCAGCCCGGAATTCTCCTCATCTGTTTCTCTTTTATCTCTCTCCTCACTGTTGACACAATTTCCCATCTGCGAGCGGCAGAATGTGCGTTGGACAGCATTATATATGATGAAACATCCTCAGGATCCAATGCCATGATTTTTCTTGCTGCAAATTCCCCCAATTCCATATTTGAGTGAATCTGGCAGCCTCCAAGCAATGCCTTCCAAAAACCAATACCTGGTTCAAAAGGCAAATGGTGAATAAACTCCTCAGCTTCCTTGAAACGCCCAGACCGAGAGAGCAAATCCACCATACAAGCATAATGCTTTGGTTTAAGCAAGTTGGGTTCTTTAAGTCTTGCCTCATTGAAATATGAATAACCCTCAGCAACAAGACCAGCATGATTGCAAGCCCATAATAAACCAAGAAGTGTAACATGATTAGGTCTAAAACAACTTACAAGCATCCTTTCAAATAACTCAATGGCTTCCTTTCCTCTTCCATTCTGCGCATAACCACATATCAAAGCATTCCAAGAAACAATATTCCTTTGATTAAGTTTATTAAAAACCAAGAGACTATCTTCCATACTTCCACATTTGGCATAAAAACTAATAAGAGCATTGCCAATAAACACACTAAGCTGATTTCCCAGATGCTTAAAAGCACATGCATGAAAACTTTTTCCCATTCCAAGTGCAGCTATATTAGCAGCTGCAATAATAGCACAAGGGAAAGTGAACTCACTAGGCATCACCCCTTCTCTCAACATATGAATGAAAAGATTCACGGCCTCTTCATTACAACCAGTTTGGCTAAACCCACCAATCATTGCATTCCAAGAAACAACATTTCTCTCAGGCATCACTTAAATAACCGTAAAGCATCATCAAACCTCTCATTTTTCAAGTACCCAGATATCAAAGTTGTGTAAGATACAACATTTGGTTGATGGGTATCTTCAAACACCCTTCTTGCTTCCTCTATTGTACTCAACTTTGAATAAAGATCTAAACTTGCACTACCCACAAAAACATTGTAATTGAGGCCCATTTTGATTGAACAGGCATGAAGTTGCTTGCCAATGTTAAGGTCTTTTGACAAAGTGGAAGAGTGAATCACAGTCCCAAATGTGAACTCAGTGGGTCTAATATTGTTAAAAAGCATCCTGGAGAACAAATATATGGCTTCGATATGATGATGTTGCTTAGAGAAGCTTCCAATTATGGAAGTAGCTGAGACTACATCTAAGTCAGACACTTCGTCGAACAATTTACAAGCATTAAGAAACGCGTTTGATGAATCGTCGGAAATGAGAATGTGAACATTGGCAGCCTTTTGGGTGTCAAAGAGAGGGTTACGAGCTGCTATGCAAGTAATTCTGAATATGGTCGCGGCTGCGGCTAGAGGCAATCTACATTTTGGACCCAGGAGAAGCATAGAGGGATTTTTGTGTAGTTTCTACAGTCAAAATAGATGAGTCGTCCGAAAAAAGAATATGAACATTGGCGGCCTTTTGGGTATCAAACAGAGGGTTACTAGTGTCACGGGCTGCGAGCTTCGTGCCTGGTCTGTGACACTAGCGATAGGAACATCGATGGATATGGTACGCATAGAATAGAGTATTATTCATTTTTTTTATGTTATATTTATTTTTTTAATTACATTTAATGAATATTTTAAATTTAAATTTATTTGTATTTTTTTCAATATTTAATAGGTTATAGGTAATCTCGTACCTTTAACTTTAAAAAAAATAAAAATAAAAATAAAATTAATTTTTTAATTTTTATTTTATATATTTAAATATTTTTTATAAATATATATTAATATATATTTTTTAATAAAAATATATTAATTCTAGTTAATTTAAAATAACAATTTATATTATTTAATAAAAAATTAGTTATAAATATATATAAAATACGATTACAATATAAATATTATATTATTTATTTTTATCTTCATATTCAATAAAAATTTAAATTTAAATTTATTTTTATATCTATAATATAATTTTTATTTTATTTTTATTTAAGTAAAAAATTTTAATTTTTTATTAAATATGAATAAAATTAACTTCCTACCTAAGTGCTCTGCAAGTCAGCTGAACATGGTTGCGGCTGAGGCTATAGGCAATCTACATTTTGGACCCTAGTGAGGCATCCTGTGATTTTTGTTAGTTTCCATAGTTAAATAAAAGCCCGTAAAACCGTAAAATCAATGCAAATGAACGTAAGCGATTAAAGCTTAGGATTTTGATATTTAAATTTAAATTTTATTTATTTATTTTGATAAATAATTTGTAAATTTGAAACATTTGAAATAATTCTCAAATTCTTTAACTTTTTTTCGACCAAAAATATAAATAAAGGCCCGTAAAGAAAAGGGGTAGTTAAATGAAGTGGAAAGAAAACGAATAGATTGCGTGCACTACAAAAAAAAAAGAAAAAAATGGGGACAGAATCAACATTGTAACACTACAATGGTGGGTTAAGAGCAAACAGATTGTGACTTCCGTAAACTAACGAAAAATTATAATTTATGAAATTTGAATTTAATTAAGTTAATTCAAGAAATCAATTTAATAAATGTAAAATTCAAAACCATCACTTTTAATTTTTTTAATTCAGATTACATCATTTTAAAAACAATAATATAATTTATAAGGAAAGTTACAGATTTTAAGAAAGAGGAAAAAACTAAAATAATTGTATCATCTAAGGTTAATATTCTAGCAATTAATCAAAGCTTAAGAACTAACATCTGAGTCCTGATGTTTAAGAATGGAAATGGGGGGGGGGAAGGAGAGAAAAAAATCCTTTGAGGAAGGGGTTTACAAGAAATCCAGATTCAGTTGATATTTTTTGACAATATTATTGCTCTGAGTGTGCTCAATGGAATCTCTTCTGTGAACCAGCATGCTCTGATAATTAGAAGTTGGTACTGGTTGAACATTTCTTTTGGGTCAGTATTTGTGAACTTGGAGTTGCAGATTTTGAGTTGATGACTGCTCGTTGACTCGGGTTGATCAAGCTATGATCATCATTACCAATGAAATTGGATTGCAAAGGGGGAGGGTTTCGCCACTTCGGAAGCTGGCCTGTAATCATTAGTGTCTCCAGCAAGGGTGCAATATTAAGAACAGCCTCCAATAATCTCCCTTTCTCCGGTAATGGTTTTCCCTTAACAAGGGTATCAATTACTTTTGAAGCAGGATTAATTACCAAGTCCTTTGAAGAAAATTTTCCCATTTGGATACGGCCACCAGGATCTTGAACAAATGGCTTTTTCAACAATGCAAGGTTGCTGGAATCAGTCAGGCTAACATTGAACATCGTCCTACAGATGCCATCGGCTCCAGATGAGTCATCCGAAGAGTTGTTATATGCTTCAGATGCAGCATCTGATCCTTTGATATCTAGGTTTCCTTTCAAGATTTCCAGGTTCCGGCTGTCAGGTTGGCCAAGTGAAACAACAGAGCTGGTTTCAGCTGAATTAGATGGTAAGAGCTTGTTCAGAAGTTTCTTCAATTCAGAAATTTCTGCCACTGACCTCCTCAATTGCTCTCTAGCTTCATCTCTTTCTTGGCAAGCCTCAGATAAAAGCTGATATAAAACATCTGTAGTCTCTTGGTGCATTCCTATTTCCCCTACTAAATCTTCTCTCATTGATTCTAGTTCATAGTTGTAGAAGAGATGTCTGGGTTTCAGTTCAAGCATGCTCTACCAGATTGAAAATTAAGTTAGAATGTAAGCCAAAAAATATCGATAGACAACAGTACATTAGAGTATTTCTAGATGATCATCAACATGGTATCATTCATTTCTTTATCTTAATTACATAGATAATAAATAATTAATTTGCATGTAAAAATAACTATTCATGAAAAAAAAAAAAAGGGGCAGGTTGAAACTCTTACCAATGCAAAAAATGAAATTAAGCCTACGGGTAAATCCCATAATCAAGAGATTTTCATCTATCTCCCCCCTAAAATATTACTTCTAAAACTTTGCTTATTTGCTCCATTTGAATTTTGAAACCCTAATCATCCATTTGCAATGCCAAATAATAGAGGAAAAAATTTTTAAAAAAAAAATTATTTAATACATTAACTATGAAGTTTTTTAATTTCACAAGCAAAACTAAAATGGTGACACAAATCTTAATTTTTTATATTAGTTTTTTTTTAAAATATATAATAAAAAACCATTTATCATTATTTTAATTTTGTTTGTAAAGTTAAAAAATTCTACTATCAGTATTTGATAATTAAAAAAAAAAAAAAAGCTACAACAAGGTTTCACAAATTTTTTAAAAAGTCTTAAATTGAGATAAGGGTAAGGATCTCATAAATTTAAATCCTTGCTAGATGGCACCTTATCAAAAATAATTGTATAAACCAACTAAATTAAATCTTAAATTTAAAACTTCACAATTTTAACCATTAAAACTAAAATCAATGGAAAGTCTGTAAATAGTGTGGAAAAAGAAAGGCCCAAAATGAAGCCATTAGCAATGATAACAAGAAAACTTAACCCTGGCCTTCAAGGGACAAGTTTGCTCATGTTTAGTCCATAAACCAATATCTCATGGATAAAGGTATTAAAATCAAAAGAAAAAGAAAAATGAGCAAGAAAAAAAAAGTATAAAAGTACGTCTAACCTGGTTATCATTCCACCATGAATACATTAGTTCCCTATTTCTCTATTTATAATTGCCCTGAACGAGAACCTATTTTAGCACAAAAAGAAGATTAAAACAGTGTAGAAGAGGAACAAATTTATATGAAGAAAACATTATGGTAATTTGTAATAAATAAAGAAAGTGAAAAAAACCTTCTTAAAATACTTTTGTCTGATTCTATTGAAGATTATTGAAAATGGAAAATCCCACCCGCATTAAAAGGGATTTTTATTCTTGTGTTGATGTCAAGTTTCATATATTTGTATGAATAGGAAGTGTATACAATTATCATGATTGTTTTTAGAAAGCTGTTAATTTGTCATTGATCACAATTGCAATGTCTAAATAAAACAAAAGGAAATTTTAGATTTTCCTAATCTTCAATCAGAGATTCTCTATCATTTTTTCCTTGGACAATAAATCGTTTTGTTTTTTTTTTTTTTGTTAATTATTGATCTTGAAAAAAATGTCCAGTTGACATTTTCTGTGGACAAAAGGAACTCGCTTAATTCGTTTGTATATGACGTGGTACATAACAAAATTCATGGCAACCCTTTTTTTTTTTAATCCAATTAACAAAAAAATATTTTGTCAACTAATCCAATTGCGCCGAATCCTGGACCGATCGTTTATAAAAATTCAGGATGCCACATTCTCCATGCTTAAGAGTAAGGTTAGAGTCTTTGACTTTTTGGTGCTATATACATTTAAAGAAAAGAAAAACCATTTAGCAAGCTTCGTGGCAAATCCTGGAAATAAAGCTCGGGCTGGCTATTGGTTGGATAACTCCGATGGAGAGAAATTGACTTAATCAACTTCTTCTCGATGATTTGAGTATTTGACCCTCACTAACTAGACAGATACAAGGCTACAAATTTGCCACGGCCAGGGGAAAGAAAGCGGCGGAAAAAGACAGAACTTTCACTATTCCATATGGATATGGTGGATGAATACCAAGATGAAGTGGTCCGTGCTGTTTTTTTGACCTTTTTTATTTATAAAGAAGTCAGCAGATTGAAATAAAGGAAAAAGGTTAGTTACGTTGACTTTGAATTTTAAATTTTTTAAATGTTATTTTAAGATCGATTATATAAATTAATTAAAATAAATCATGAGTTTAAGGATAACAATTATTTAGTAAGTTACAACAAAACTTAACAATTAAATCTATTATGTAATTTTTTTTAGACTAAAATAATAAAAAATGTTAAATTTTATTATTTAATTTAAACATTTTTTTATACTTTTATTACACTCTTATTTAAATATAATTAAATATAGAAACTTATTTAAAAAAGTGAAATGCTTCAAAAAAAAATTTTTGTGTTTCATATTTTTGTTATTAATGTATACATATTTTGTTGGGCAAAAAGTATTTATCTAATCAAGCTAACAGAAGTATAATCAAATAATTAATCAAATAAAAAATAATAATTTAACGTGATTTGATCCAATCAATTAACGTTTACGTATAAAAAATAAAATTCATTAATTATAGAGAATTACACATAAACAATCAAATCAAGCACTTAATATTAATAGTCATGATTCTCTCAATCTCCTATAATCCTAAAAATATTATCAATACCAACATACATATACTTATATGCACTAATGCATTATACTTATGTGAATCATCTCAATTTCTTTTAGTCCACTCATAAACATACACTATACTTACGTGGATCATCCAATCTCTTCTAGTTCACTTACAAACATATAAACATACACACCCATAAGACGTAAATCTCTAATACTCTCATAGGATGTCTATCCTATAAAATCTTACAACTTTCTTATATCTTTTTTTCATATATAACCCTATAAAGACTCCATTTATTTATAAACATATAAATTTACCTATTAAGAATCACATATCTCTTCGAATTATTCTTCTGCAAGTTTTTTTGTCCATCAAGCAATGTCTAATCAATCTCAAACAAATTTCTTATAAGATTTGAGTCACTATTTTCAACAATCTCTACCTTAACTCAAATTTTATCAAATTATTTGTTTTTATGCTAAACATACTTGGCTTTACAACTCTTTTGAGCTTACCTCTTTTTATATTTCGAATCATGCTCTGATGCCATTTATTAAAAATCAACACGCAGCACTCGAACATACAAATATATTTGTTTTGGCACAACTCAAAATAGTCTATTCCAAACTGAATCCACTAACAAATAAATATTTAACTATAAGACTTTTGGAATAAGAAAAGTTACAAAAAAATTTATTATTCAAAACTTAACTCAAAACCTAATAACACCCTTTTAATAGTCTACTCATTTAGCTATTTTTTTTATGTCTAATTATCTGAAATTATCAAATCAAAACTAAAATATCTTAATGAGATTTTTTATATTTTTATTAAACTCCCGATATGAAATGTAAAATAATGTTAAACTCTTATAATTTCACTTAATTTTTGACGTAAAATTATGAAATTCAAGATAAATCTTAATATATCTCGTGCAAACAAAAACTAACAAAATCATGTTGTCCAATATTAAGAACATAGGCAGTTAAAATAATTAAGTTGGAACTACATCCAAAGTTGTATAAAATCCTTAATTTCTTTTTTTTTTTTATCTTAATTTCTTTCAGATGCTACCGTAAGACAAAAATAGATGGTATGTCAGTACAACATAATCTGTAAATCTGAGAAGATTACTATTTACATTAAGCAAAGCAATTAATTAATTAGAAATGTTTTCAAAATTGTTGATAACGTTTTGACTTTTACCCTTTCCCACACTTTTCTCTTTGGAGATTATTATTGATGAAAATCGTACCGAAATCTGTACTTCAGTGTTTAGATCGTTTTCTTCGTGAAAATTGCACTGCTGACTTTAGACAAACGCTTTACGACTAGCATTATTATGTTGATTAAAATTGAAATTTTATCATTAAAAAATAGGAAAATTTCAAAGATTCGGTGAGTTTCAGAGGAAAATTAACGCACGACCAGAAAAATATTAGCCAAGTATCATATGTGGCTTCTACAAATTTCTTACCGCGCACTTAATCAAAATTCAACAGACGAAAAGAGTCATTTAGACGTGCAAGGTATTAATTGTGTCTAGGCTCCAATGGAAGTTGGCAAATTTCTCTAGGAATTTCTCCATTAGTAATTATCAACACAGAAATTAAAGCTATAGCTGATCTCGGATTTCTTTTCAAAAAATATATAAAGAATGATGGAGTGATTGGATGTTTTGAATCATATTTTTTTGAGTAAAAAATGCCTACATTTATTATTAAATTAAATACAAACTATCAAATGTGATGATTGGTAAACACATGCGAAAGTAAGAATGTTTAGTAGAGACGGAGAAAAGAAATAACGAACAACTTGACTAATTAATCCAAGGGACCAATGGACAACAAGGAAAAGTCTTCAACTAATTTTATTGAATACACATTGATTACTATTCTCACTCGTGAATGTATATATAGCACATAAAAGTTAAACATGTTATTGTGATAATGACAAATATTATCGTTTGCAATATGGGTCAAAATTTTCTAGATATTTGATCGATTCAAAGCAATAATAAATTTGGGGTTGAATATATATACGAGATGGTTAACCTTTGATGTTGATTTCTCCACTATCTACTTTATAATGTACTCCACTATGAAGCAAGTGTCACTTGTTTAAACCTATATCGAGTGCCTATCTGGTGCTTAACTCTATTTTTCTTTCAGCCATTTTACTCGAAGGATTTGCTTGTTGGGCTTTCTTTTTATTAACCTTAACTAGTTTAAAGTGTTCTGTTATCACTAGTTAAGCTACGGCCTATTGAGTTCTGTTTTCTAATCATATTTGCTCTCCTAATCCTTTTGAAGCCTTTTGCATAGCAACAACTTTGAAGTCAATTTTAACGTTGACTTTGGCTTCATTTAGATAGGGTAGCACAATGAGAATCCTAACATCGAAAAGGGTTAAATAGTGATTGAGACGCAAAACCATCCGGTGGAATAGCAAAAAACTCAAGGTCTTTGTCTTTCACATGATGTCCTGAAAAGCTCAATCAATGGAGGGCTGGTAGATGTTTCACAGTTCTCAAGAAGATATTAATTGACGTTCTTAGCTACCTTGATAACGACAACAAATTTGTTTCCACGTCTAGTGCATTAGAAAACACGTCAAGCTGTTGGAGTAGTTTGCAAGGAACTGTGTGGCTTTTCTTTGGTGATTTTGAATAACTTCTTGTATAACAGATTGGTTTTGAACGAGGAACAATAAAAATGGAAGATGAGAGGCGTGATTTCATCAGTAGTTTGCCTCAGGATATTCTGAAACGAATCATATCAATCCTTCCTCTGGAAGAGGCAGTGAGGACAAGCGCCTTTTCAACTGTCTGGAGAAGCCTCTGGGTACCTGTATTACTAACCTGTCATGAAGAAGCCAAAGAAGAGCTACAGGAAATCATCTCCCAGTCTTATGATGTTCATCGGGTATGGAAGCTGTGTTTAAGCTACCAGGAAATTAAGGATGGAGTCACTGTTTTAGCTACCAAAGGGGTAGAACAAGAACTTCACCTCGAGTTCTCTAAGAGGGAGAAAGAGGCCAAGAATTTCCATTTGAAGTTGGAACCAATAACTCGCCCTGCCTCACAGATAGTCCGCTTTTCCACTCTCAAGATGCTTCGTGTTAGATCAGTTAACCACCTTGGCAATGATTTGATTTCTGCCTTATTCTCCACTTCTAAGTTTCTTGAAAGCTTGGAGCTAGAAAAGTGCAGTGGACTGCAAATCCTTGATATAGAAGCGAATGACCACCTTCAAATCCTGAAAGTGATGGATTGTCCAGACATGGCCAACATCACAGTCTCAGCTAGAAATCTCAGATCATTTTGGTATCAAGGTGTTCTTCCTCAGATTCAGCTGAAGAATACTTTAGACTTGGTAGAAGTGATGCTTGATTTGAGGAATGGTTTTTGCAGTAGTGAGTTTGATTGTGAGGATGTTCTTTCTTTCCTAACTTCTCTCAGGGAAATTGAGATCCTCACTATTAACAGCTGGCTTCTTGAGGTATAGTTCTTTTTCCCCATTAAACAGAACTCTCCTTGCTTTTACTTTTTTTTTTTCATTCCTGACAAGAAATACTTGTCTTTCCATATATAGTGGTTGTGCTCGGGAGGAGTAATCTTTTCAAGGCTGGAATTCAGATTCAACAATTTGAAGGAATTGAGCTGGATGGATTCTGGACTGAACAAGACCAAACGGGACTCATTGGCTTGCTTCCTGAACATCTGTTCTTTCCTGGAGAAGTTGTTAATCAAAGTAAGAGTTGGTTTGCCTACAAGTTTCCCGCATTACTTCAAATGTTTCAATATAATCTTTCATTCACTAATTTTTTTGTCTGAATAAAAACTGCAGATTGATCCTGACCTCAATTCTATACCTTGTCCATATTTTCACCAATACTGGCATGAACCTCACCTTTGGATGGATGATGCAACAGTGAAATCCAATACTTCACAGCTCGAACACCTCAAGATTGTAGAGTTTTTGGGTTATAAAAGTGAAGAAGATCAGATTTTGCTAATGGAACTTTTATTGGAGAAGGCAAACATGCTCAAGTCAATAACTGTTACTTCACCAGAGAATCATTCATGGGAGGTTGCAAAGGTCCCTCAGAGTCAGCTAAAGCCGACATGGAATACAAGTAACCAACAACAGCAGAATGCAGTTTTCTCTCTTATAAAGGACTTCTTTTTGGAATTTTTTGGAGAGATTAATGTTGTTTTCCGTCCAGAAAAGGCTGGAATTTGTAATTTGAGTTTTTGGCATTGAATCCTACTTCTGTATTTTGATTGAAGAAACTGTAATAATATTTTCATTGTGTACGTGCATAAATCGAGTCGTGAGCTATTAAAGAAAGGGATAGGGATTGATTAACAAGGAAGTCCAAAAACCCTGACCTACATCTTATGTAATACATAATTGAAACTGTTTATTATGAACATTGTGCATTTCTATTCCGCAATAACTATTCAGTAGATTTTTTTCTGTTCTTTTTTTAGAAAATGTGACTACAGCCGGCCTCCAGTTCTTCCTCAAGCCATTTTATTCACTTTTCTTTCTTTTAATTCATTTTTTTTATAGCTGGAACAGAAGAGAAGAAGGATGCTTTCCGGGCTTCATTAGCTGGATATCCCGTCAAAAGATTGATGTAGCATTTTACTGTATTTCTTTGTCTTGCACTTCAAGTTACAGAAAACTTTTAAGGGCAGTTTTCCTTGAATTATACCATCACATTGGATTCAAAGTCTAAAAACTTTTAAGGGCTGTTTTCCTTGAATTCCCTTAAGCAAGCTGTATATTTTTCTTCCAATATTCTACCGACCCCGTGCAAGTTGATGACCAAGAATCCTTCAGCACGACATGTGAACACTCACGAAGTTTCATTTGAATTTGTCATAGGAAAAGTTTAAGCAGTACCAGAAGTTTTGATTATCAACCCGTGTCACTTTCCTTCAAAAGAAATATGAAAAAAAGTTAAATCTTCGAGTAGTAGGTAATAGAGGCTGCTTGGACCATGCACAAACAATTGATTAATTTAGGTGAGGCTGGAGGTGATTGAATTTCTCACGTTACCGACAATCAAACAAAGCAGACAGCTGATCAGGCTTATGCGACAACGTTCCTCTTCTGTGGTTTCTAGATGGTTTCCCCAATTAGGCAATCTACTTAGAATTTCTTTAAACCATGGAATTCACCGTGAAAACTCATTTAAGGTCTTATGAAACAGCTTTCCTTTTGTACATTGTTGACTGTTCTAGTTTATTGACTTTAGGCTTTTCCACCTTTGGAGCTTATTTCTAAGCACTCACTCACACACATACACGCACGTACATACACACACATATATATATATATATATATATTAGCATGTACATAATTAAATGAAAAGAGACTAATAACAAAACTAAAAGCGAAACAAATAGAAGATTAATTGAGGGAAACAAATAGGAACTGTTAAAACAGAGAAAACACGGATGTTGGTTAGAGTCGGAATCAAGATTGAAAGAGCAAATGCACATGGAAGGAGATGGTGGGGGGAGGGAAGGCCGTCCTTGGAGTGGAGGGGAAGGCCGTAGGAGCTAGCAATCAAGGTCAGTCCCGAGCAGGACCTAAACATAATGATGAGGTATAGATGCCCCCACGTCAGGTGGGTACACAATTCTTTCGTTGGGTTATCCTTTGGTCCCACTACCAGACCAATTTGATTGACAAACAGGGCCGATGTTTTTAATTCACTGAAGACCCATCTCTCCCCCATGATATGGCCCACTTCACTGCCTGTTCGGGGTCGCCACTTGCCTGCTCCCCCGTTTCTCATTTCCCTTGTCTTTTGATAGAGGGTAAAGAAAAAAAATCGAAAAAATCTAGAATCGATTTTAAATTGTAATATTTGATTTAATTGGGATTGAATTTTTTTATTTTATTTAGATTTAATTTAGATTTTAAATATATATTAAATTTGAATAAATATAAAAAATAAAAAAATCGAATCAAATTATATATTTTTGTTAATTTTATATATTTTAAATTTTTATAAAATAAAAATAATTATTTGACATCTAAAACTACTTAAATATCTCAAAATTTATATTAAAATAATATATAAAAAATAATAAAATAAAATTTAAAACTAATAAGCTAAATTAAACCGATAAAATGTGATTCGGATAGTATAAAATATTGGTTTCAATTTGAATTAAAATTTAAATATTTAAAAATATTATATATTATTTAAAAAATTAAATCAAATCAAATCAAATTCAAATAGTTGACGTTCTTGATGTTTGACTTTCTTTTTCAATTATTTCTTGAGGAATAGAAAAGAAAACAAAAAAAAAGACAAGACATGCAAGTCTTAAACTCGTCGACAATCGAAATTAGTTATTTTACAATTTAATTTCAACTATTTTTGTTTTTCCTTAAATGATATATCGACATTTAAATTTTATTTTCGAGATGACTAATTAGGTTTGTGAAGTGTTTGTTCAAGCTTTGAATTTTTTTTTTTTTTATGGTGAGGATGCTTCTTGTTTAAGAAGAGTAGAATGTATGGATAAAATGCATGCTCATTTCCCTTCAATTATTACTAACAATGATTTGCTTACAAAATTCAAATCATGTCCAAATTCAACTACCTTTCTTTAAATTTTTTTTTATAAAAAATATCAAATTTAAAAATAAAAAAATAATTACAGAGGTTGAGATTTTAATGTCAAACATACTAAATGTCATCTATTAAATATAATTATATAAATAAATTGAGTTCTATATTTTAAATTTTATATAATAACTAGTTTTAAATTCGTGCAATGCACAAAAATATATTCATATATCAATAAATCTTCTATAAATATAATTTTTTTAAAATGAAAATATAAGTTATGAAATTTATGAACAACTCATAACTTATATAATTATTTTTATTTAAATTTATATATTTTAATCTAATAAAATAAATTAATTACATATTGAATGTACTTATACAATTATCATTAGCTCTAAAAAAAATTCAAACCATAATTTATTGAATCAAAATAATCTTTAGACAAAAGATAGTAATGTTTTCAATTTCATTTCATCCTTAAAATCAATCTTTCATACAAACTTTTTTCATGGGAGATTCTTTTATAAGTTGTTATTGAAACGAAGATGCAACAATTGATTATATAACTTTATAACAATCATAATCATTATAATAAACTTATACATACCTCTTCCAATAATTTTTGCTATTCAAGAGGATCAAAATCAAATTCCTTATTCACTGTAAGTTTTGTACTACTTGTCTCAATATTATACTTGGTACTACTTGTCTCAATATTATACTTGGTTGCCATCGTCTCGAACACACAACTATTACTTCTAAGATCTTCAACTATCTCTTGAATTTTATAATCTCCATTTTCCTAAATAATAAGTATAAATATATCATTCAATTAATTTAAATATTAAATAATATCAAAATAATTTTTAACTCAATACTTTAACAGAAATTTTATAAAGATTGTCAATATTTTTATTAATTAAATCCTTAGCTTCTGTATTGAATAGTACAAACATCATCTTATCAAAATTATCATATGCCTCAATATTCAACTCGTACCTACAAAAAAATGTAAATTTCTACAATTATAAATATAATATAATAATTTAAAATACTTTTATTATCATCATGGAATAATAATTTTTTTATGTATCAAATATAAAAAATATAAATGCTAATTACATTGGAGTGGGATTAGGGACATTAACATTGCAGGAATAACATTGAAATTTTTCATCAATTTCAAATAGCTTCTTGTTACACGGACATGACATATAATGCCAACCAAAAGTGATATCAACTTTCATAATAATAACTCTACTAGTGAAAGATTTTTTTGCATATACCAAATCATCTTTAAATTAATCATAAAAAAATATTAAAAAAAAAGCTAATATCTTAGTTAAAGAAATATAAAATATAAGTATAAAAATAGAATAACCTTTAAATAGCACAGATCAAGAAACAATGTAAAGTAAAAATTAGAGAGAAAATTGAAATAAAATTGAGTAGTGATCAAAAGATATAAAATTAGTGAAAAGTGGTTAAAAATGCATTATACTTAACCTAGAGCTACTCATACAAAATGTGTGTTGTAGGTTAATTAATAAGATAATTTTAAATTACAAAAGTTAATATTGAAATAATAAAAATTGTGAGTGAATAATGATCTAACAATGACAAGTTTATTGATATTAAAATATTTTATTCTGCCATTAACATTTAGAGATCTTTTAATTTAGAACAATAAAACAAATTAAATTTATTGCATTTAATAATGGCAATAAAACAAATTAAATTTTAATTAAATCAACGTGCATTAATATCTAGTTTTTAAAATTATGGAATGTTATCAATGAAATCAAATAAAATCCACATGCGTTAATATTTTATCAAATGAAACCAAATGTTACAATTAAATCAAATGAAATAATATTTAATGAAATATAAATATATCAATCAAATATAAATTAATAAATATTTTATTTCATTAATTTAATTACGGAGAATTAATTTGATATATTTGCTCTTTATATTTACACATGAAATATATCAATTACTCAAATGAATACTATATTTAATCAAATATAAATGTATATAAATTATTTTATAATTATAATTGTAGTATTTATTAAATTATTAATTATATATTGATTGATTTAATTTGTCAAAATAAGAAATTTTTAAATTTTAATACTTTTAATATGAATTGAATTGAGAGTGATTTATAGTCAATAATAAAAATATAAATATAGTCAATTAATAAGATAATCTTAAATTATGAAAGTTAATATTAAAATAATAAAAATTGTGAGTGAATAATGATCTAACAATGACAAGTTGATTAATATTGAAATATTTTATTTTGTCATTAATATTTAGAGATATCTTAATTTAGAATAATAAAACAAATTAAATTTATTGTATTTAATAATGGTAATAAAGTAAATTAAATTTTAATTAAACCAATGTGCTTTAATATCAAAGAATAAATTATAAAATATTACAAATGAAAACAAATGAAATTAACGTACATTAATATTTTATCAAATGAAATCATATTTAATAAACTATAAATGTATCAATTAAGTATAAATTAATAAAATATTTTATTTCATTAATTTAATTATGGAGAATTAATTTAATATATTTACTTTATATATTGACACATGAAATACATCAATTACTCAAATGGATAATATATTTAATGAAATATAAATGTATCAAATAATTAATTAGAGAATCAACAATTTTATATTTGTAATTGTACTATTTAGTAATTTATTAATTATATATTAATTGATTTAATTTGTTAAATTAAAAAAATTTTAAAATTTAATACTTTTAATATGAATTGAATTGAGAGTAATTTAAAATCAATAATAAAAATATAAATATAATTAATTTAGTTTTTTGAATTATATTTGCTTTCTATGTTTATACATGAAATATAGCAATTACTGAATACTATATTTAATCAAATATAAATATATCAAATAATTGATTA